GTTGTGTCAATTGTTGAAAACTGTAGAGAAGAATGTTTTACAATGGGATGACACACGCAGAGCTGCATTCAAGCGGCTCAGGAATTCTTTAGTGAGAGTTCTGGTTTTGGGATTACCTGACCCGACCAAGGCCTTTGAGTTATTCACACACAAGAGGCAAGGAGTAGCCCTTGGAGTTCTGACCCAATTTTTAGGGCCTCAACAGGGAGCTGTTGCTTACTTTTCCAAACAATTAGACACTGGTAGCCAAGGATGGCCGGGATGTTTGAGAGCAGTGGCTGTGACTGTGACATTGATTACTGAGGCCTGGAAACTGACTTTGGGTCAGAAAATGACTATATATGCTCCCCATTCAGTGCTGGCAGTATTGGAACAAAAGGTGGGACATTGGCTGTCTCTGAGCCGAATGTTAAAATATCAGCTTGCCTTACTAGAACATGATGATGTGAACCTGAGAACAACTGCCATTGTTAACCCAGCTATATTTTTATCTTCTTCAACTCTAGAAGGTGTTCTTGAACACAATTGTCCGCAAACTCAAACTATCAATGAAGTTTGTTCCAGCAGGAAGGATTTAAAAGAGCAACCACTATTGGATGCAGACTGGGACTTACATACTGATGGAAGCAGCTTCGTACAGAATGGAATATGGAAAACAGGGTATGCCGTTGTTACAACAAATGCCATTATAGACGCAAAGGCGTTGCCTTCAAATGTTTCTGCACAGAAAGCTGAACTTATAGCCTTGACCAGGGCAGTGGAATTAAGTCAAGGAAAGAAAGTAAATGTATGGACAGATTCAAAATATGCTTTTAGTGTGATACATGCCCATGGGGCTATTTGGAAAGAAACATGACTTCTGACATCTCAAGGAAGTGAAATAAAACATGCAGGCCAAACTGTGAAACTATTGGAAGCTATCCAGTTACCCTCACAAGTGGCAGTCATGCATTGTAAAGCTCATCAGAAAGGGGACAATGATGCTGCTGTACAGGGAAATCAAAGCAGCAAAAGAAGTAGCTAAAACTGAAATTTGAGCCTTGATTCCTGAAAAGGCACCAAGAATATTAGACAAACCCTGCACTATGAAGAACATGACAGAAAATTTGTCAGTGATTTGAGAGCAAGGAACAAAAAGATGGTTGGGCAATAACTCCTTAAAGGCAAATAATAATCACCCCTAGTTTAATGAGAGGTAGCTGCAAAAGAATGTGAAGACAGTCATTGGGGAACAGAAAGCCTGGTCAAACATTTAAGGAAGACTTTAATTAGGAGGCATATGACAGAGAGTGTAAAATCAGTAGTTGAAAATGTGAAATCTGTAAAACAAATAATCCTAACACAGGGAAGAGGGTAATCTTAGGAATAACAAAACCAGGAATAACTCCAGGGGAATATTAGCAAATAGACTTTACTGAACTACCAAGAATAGGAGGTTATAAATATCTACTGGTCTTGGTGGACACATTCAGTGGATGGTCAGAGGCCTCCCTCTGTTGCACCAGTATGGCTCGTGAAGTAGTGAAACAAATACTAAACCAAATAATACCCTGGTTTGGCATACCGGTAGGTATGTCTTCAGATAGGGGTCCCCATTTTGTTGCAGAAGTTGTTGAAAGGGTAGGAGAATATTTGGGAATTCAGTGGGATCTGCATACCCCTTAGAGACCTCAAGCTAGTGGAAAGGTAGAACATATGAATCAGACCCTTAAATTGCAATTGAGTAAAATATGTCAAGAAACTTCTTTAACTTGACTACAAGCTTTACCAATAGCCTTGTTGAGAATAAGAATATAACCAGGAGAGAATTATGTGAGCCCATATGAGTTAATGTATGGGTGACCTTATCAGTTGCCTTTTGTTGCTGGTAATTTATTCCTACAGGAAAGCCAAGACCTCAGACAACACCTGCTGGCTTTGGGCAAGACTCCTTAGAAGCTCCATAATCAAGTGGTCCTACATCGTCCAAGTGGATTGGATGTCCCAGCCCATCCGTTCCAACCAGGAGACTGGGTCTATGTCAAGACATGGAAGGACGAACCGCTAAGAGCTAAGTGTCAAGAGCCGTTCCAGGTCTTGTTGACTACTTAAACTGCCCTGAAGGTGTCAGAAAAAGGACCTTGGATACACTGTTCCAGAGTTAAAAGAGCTACAGGTCCATGGACAGCAGAGCAGAAATCGCCACTTACTTTAAAATTTACTAAATGCTCTTGAATTTAAAGTAAAACATGATTAAGTTTTATGGTTTGGCTGTGACGATTACGGTAGTCATGAGTCAACTTGGACAGACTTATGGGGACCAAAATCTCCATTTGATGCTAGTCCAAAACATTACACACGTACTTGATAAAACTGATTGCTGGATTTGCACTTACCTCCCAGAACAAAGTGCAAAAGGGTGGCCTTTGATAGGGATCCCGATTCCTTTTGAAACAGATTGGAATAATTTATGGATAAATCCAAAATTTATGGACTTGAGCAATACTAACTTGCGAGTTCTAGAAGTGATAGACCCAAGCATTTCAGATGTTAAGTGTACAACGACCAACAAAACTAACACTTCTGGAAATGCCACAGTAGGACATTATCCAAATTGTGGCTGGGCAATGCAGCTTCAGAACAGGGAGAGACAAAATGGATATTGGAATGTCCCAAAAGGCAAAGGGATATGTGGGAATGCAGCATGAAAGGCCTTATCCCAGGGTGGATAGGAACATGAACATTAGGAGCTGTAGTCCCTAACATAACAATGGTTAAGAACTTGAATGAACAAAGTGGATGGGTGAGAACTTTCCTGAGGTGGACTAGGAGAGCTCATAACGCTATAGCCGATAGACCTTATGCATTCCATAGTTTTGCTAGATGGTTCCTCCCTTGTCTGGGAGTGAGTGAATTGAAAAAGGCGATTGTTAACGTATCAGCAATAATAGAAAATACAGAAAACGGAACTACGGATGCTATACAAGCTTTACAAATTGAAGTAACAAGTCTGTCCTGAATAGTGCTGCAAAATAGAATGGCTCTGCATTTATTATTGGCCTCACAAGGGGGTGCTTGCACCGTGATCAATACGAGTTGTTGTGTATATGCAGATCAAAGTGGTAGGATTGCCACAGACCTGGCAGAAATTTGGGAGCAGACAAAAGACCTCACTGGGTTATTAGAAATGATACCTCCTGGGGTTTTGAAGAATTATAGCATAAACTTACCTCATAGCTACCGAATTGGACATGGTTAAAGAACCTGTTTGTGATAATAATACTAGTAGTCTGTGTTTCTGTCCTAGCTTGCATTATGGTTCAATGTTGTAGTTTTTGTACTCAGCTATGTTTTAGGATTAGATATGGAAAATTGATATAGGGTGAAACTTAGAAGATACTGAGTTACCTTCTAAGTCTCAAAGGGGGGAATTTGCCCAGTGCTGCAATAAAGGAATGCCTTGCTTTCTAATGCCTATAAATTGGTCTTAGAGAGTTATTGATCTGGTATTTTGGTAACACAATGACCAGCCAATACGATGTTAAAAACAGTAAACCACTTCTACGCTGAATGATCAGTTACTGTCAACATAATGACAACCTCAACGTCCTATTTTAACACAACTCCAGTGTGAAAACAAACTCAGAGAGAGAAGCTAGGAAGATTGTAAGGCTAACTTGTTCTTTTGAATGGAATTTCTTTAATTCTACATCAAAACTTGAGTTTTCAAATTGATCCTAATTTTGGAAGAATGTAAATTGCACAATTAAGTCTTCTTCTGAATGAGAACCATATTGAATCTGTGTTCTTGTGGCTAAAAAAATGATACTGTATTTTAGTTGAATTAAATGAAGAGATTTCTTCAAAACATGCAACATATGCAATTTCCTTTAGTTAAGGGAATTGAATATTCTCATTTTTTTTCAGTCTTGACCGTGCAGATTGACAGAAGTCCACAGGCTACAGTGAAGGAAGAACAGGGGTAGAGAATATCATCTTGAAAAGCAAACTACACCTTTTGTTTGGCCTGCTGAGATAAGCTGCGATTTTAAAGACTGAACAAATCACTTGCAAAATATTCTGAAAACATGCAACCATCTACATTGCAAACATTCTCATTAAAACAACTGAGTGCCTTTATTTATAAGGGGAAATAAATGTACATAACAATGTCATTAGAGGAAATGTCTGTTGCATGCATACACTAAGACTTTTCTACACGCAGTTGTAAACATCATAACACTAGAAAACAAATAATCGTAATATGCTTTTAATATAATCAACAAAGTAAAGAAACATTTGAATCCTTAATGGAATTGAATTTAAGAACATTTACATTCTAGTGATTTTTAATTGTACATTAGTAACGAATAATTTTTGTAAGGAAAACAGTATGTCCATGTACTCAGCATTCCT